ACTGTCTAGGCTGTCTTCGCCAACAAGAATCGTAGAATCACAGAATGCTAGAGATTGGAAGGGGCCTAGAAAGATCACCTAGTCCAAGCCCCCTGCCAGAGCAGGATCGCCTAGAGTAGGTCACACAGGAATGCATCCTAGAAGCACCCCAAATTCTTGAAATTTAAATTTTCTATCGCTGTGATGTGATTATGTGTACACTGAGCACAGGCTGGCTCAGGATCCATTCATCAAATCCATTCCACACCAGATAAATTGTGATGCTACTTACTGAAGCCTTATGCTGTTCAAATGATGTAAATGCAGGTAACCCTTCACGTATGGCTTAGAGTAAATGCCTGTGCCACCTACTTGCATGACAGCAAGTCAAACATCGACCTGCTGTGGTCTCCTCACACCACATGGGTATTGAATCGAACTAGAAACGAGCTGAAAGCAAGCAGAGCACACACAGGCTACTGGGAGAAGCATCCCAGGTAGCCAGAAGCTGTGATGGTCACAGGGCTGCTTTCACCAGCAGTGTCTCTGCTTCCACTGTTGCACAGGAAAAGTCTCCCCTATCAGGGGAACATTCTAGGAAAACAAATGAACTAATGGGAGAGTAATTTTGCTAAAGTAAAGTGATTCTATGTGGCAATAAACATAGACAGAAATGCAATATTCAAGCATTTTTACTTGACATAAGGTTTTGTTAGTAGAAATAAGCCAACAGTATTTGACTGCGAGTGTGATACTGCAAGTTCTTCAAACCAATCAACAGAATATGAAGCAACAAATTGAAAAGGTTGGGTAAGCTACCCAGGACACTTATGGGCAGATATTTAAAACTTGTGCTTCTCCATTCAGGCCAGCCGCGTGCATGTGTCATGTGCCCAGTCAGATTTGATGCCTTTGTACTCTGAGACACCTCATGAAAATGAATTACTCTCTTCCCTTCCACTGAACCATCAGGGGAACTGATGGTTAAATTCTGGTCACTGGTGAAAAAGGAATGAAGTCTAAGTTAAAAAGAACCCAGCTTGATCTTAGCACTCAGTGCCAGGGAAAAAAAAGTCCTGATTACAAAGATTAAGTAAGACAGTTCATTCTGAGTAGCACGTGGAGAAAGACAATTGACATGGATCTCCATTTCTGTACAATTTTTCGTCCAGGAGTTAAGAGACCTGACCAAAAAAGCAGAGCATCAGCAAGTCTGGAACAGTAAACAATCCTAAGAGAATACCACACTCACAAAGTAATGGTAGGCATCGCTGAGATCTACGAAGGGGATATCTGACAATCCCTCAGCAGCAGCCTGGGATGTATCGCCTGCAAGCTGTGGGTAGGCTTCACTCAGGAGGGAAGAGGCAAGCATGAGACCTTCTCTGCGATTTCGGATGGAGTTGCTAGACACCAGACAGTCAGTCACGGAGCTGCCTGATTAAAAAGGAACAAACAAGATCAGAAGTAATTCTTTTGAAGCTAAGTGTTTCATGCTACTTTCTACAAAGATCTACTTCAGTTTTGCTGGCACTGGTTAAATTTCTTCTTCCTCTCTTGTTTACCATGACATAACTAAACACTTTTTTTAAGCATCTCCTGTGTTGGTCAAGAAAATATCTGCCAAATTTTCTTTCAAACTTCTCTGTGCTCTACAGAGCTTCAAGCTGTTTTATCCATCTTTAGCCTCTGTGCTCTCTTTATTGTATGGAAAAGAGGGACAAGAACTCCTTACCTGTAAAGCAGTGATTGAACACTTTTTTATCTTTTTCCAGGCTCAACTGCTTTATTCCCTTTTCAGGATCTTTCATTGACAGGTACAAAGCACTGTGCATAAAATGAACCACAGAAACCGTGAGCAAATAAAAAGCTTTTGCTAGTTAGTACAATGATATTCCTTGTCATTCACAGGGTTTTGCTGGCATAATGCTCTCCACAGAGCTATAGCATCATATAATCTTCTGAAAAATGTACATTGCGAAGCCTGGAGGCCTCACTACATCACTGTCACAGCTGCAGGAACAGAGGAGGGGGTGCGCACAAATGGCTTTCCACATCCTCGTATTTCGAGAACGGAACAACTTGTGGTGTCTGTAGTGTGACCAGAGGAACAGCCACTGCTGAGGCAACTTTACAGGGCCCTATGGCCTTGGTGCCAACAGGGGAGCTCACTGCTTTGAGCTATGTTCTCCCAGAGTCCCTTGGCTGAGCAGAAAACCTGTCACTGACATCTCCAAAGTCTGCATGCTCTCAGAGGCCAAAAGTAACCTCCGTGAACTCTGGCGTGGTTTCCTTCCTCCCACCCACATTTCACTTGCTCAGAACTCTTTTAATTCCTTGGTTCTCTGGAATGTCAAGAACAATATTAAAAGTCACAGGCTAAGTCTTTTGGCCTGTTAGTCAGAGTGATCCTCCGCTGAAGCCTGTGAAGACAGATTTAGTTGGATCTAGGCCCTGGGCACTTTTACTGTCCTGTAAGGAGCGGTGCAGGCTCCTTTGTATCTTGGTATTTACCATTCGGAGGCAAAACATAAGTTGTCCTGAGGTTTTTAAGTACTGACAAATGGATGGCTTCCTTTGTGTTCCCTTTCTTCTTTTCCGTTTGCAAATTCCAAGTTTTCTGGCAAACACCACTGCCCCCTCACCATCCAAAGACTAGGCTAACATCAGTGTTTCTCTGAAGAGCTAACAAAAAGGGTAAATTTTTTTGCCATAAACTATATGCTGTATAAAAAGGCTTCTCCTGGCAGAATCACACTTTGGCTGCAGTGTTCTTTTGCATTGCATTATGCTCAGAAATCTCATCAGCAAAATCCTTTGAAGATGGTGTGTTAAAAATCCTCCCAGTTCTTATTGCTAGCTCATTTCTCTCAAATTGTACGCTCTAAAACTGTTACGCATGCAGAAAAGACTCTGAGGGAAACCAGAGAGGTAGCATGGACAGAACTGCTCATAGCTATCTACCAAACCCAGGTTACAGATCTGGCACACTGAGCCTGCAGGTGGAAGTAAATGTGAGAACAAACCTCAGGTTGATTGTTTCGGAAAATCTGATAGACTTCCTTGTGGATTTTCTGGCAAACCTTTGGCCTCCATCTAGGCAACGAATATCTTTCTTGATGTCCCGTACCCAGACATCTCTCTCGTCCAGTTAGGCAGCTTGAAAAAAGTGATCCTGCTGCTTGGCCACAGTGAACTTGAAGACAAACTGCAATGACAAATGAGTTTTTAAGTGTTACTTCGGTGCAGCCAGTTGGGCATGATTAACATAGTACCACCATGACATACGGCTTACTTGTGACTACGGACTCTGGAAAATCCCTTAGAGCACAGTTTAGATTTAAAAAAAGCCAAACCTCTCAAGAAAAACATGAACAGGCAAAGCACGTAACTGACTCCTTTTGCTGTTTCCCTGTGAACGATCCTGACATTGTCAGTATAGTCAAGATGAAGGCACCGATATAAGCTGCTGATTTTAACTTTTGCTGGGAAGTTCAACACAGGTAAAAGGCTGAAGTGCCCAGCCCCTGTGGGCTTACAGCGGCTGGAAATCTGTCTTAATATTTCTATAGATAATGGTCAGCCTGAAGGAAGGGAAAAAAACCCCACATCATGTTGGTCAGCCACTGATTCACAAGCGGAGAAAAGGTGACAGTCACAGTGGAGACTAGCTGAAAGCATTTGGGGCCTAGCAAACCTTGACAGGCCTAGTGGGGAAAAGACACTCCAACCCTTGGCTATATGTTATGATCACTACCTATCTAAACACACTGGCAACAATGGAAAGATTGTATTTCCCTCCAAATGAGAAAAGATCTTTTAAAGGTAGTTCTAAGCACCAAAAAACCCAAAATCAAACCACAAAGTTCACACTCTTTGATCTTGTTTTCACCCATCTTTTGGATGGAAAATCTAGATCTAATTACTTGGGCAAGAGGGTTTTCACCCCTTTGTCCTTCCTGTAAGTGGAACTGTAATTGGGTCTGTAGTTGTATTAGAATAAATACAACAGGTTCTGACTCGGCAGGCATCTGGAAACGACTGGCTTATAGCGTGGCTTATAGCGGCAAGAAAAGCAGAAACTACTGTCAAAGAGCAGTGAGCGGTGAATCTCACAGCAATGAAATCTAAACACTGAGTCTACTGAAGCTTGTGTTTGGAAACGGCACATTTCTGAAAAACCCTAATATGCATCTACCAGAGTGTTGCCAACGGGAAAAAATTCTGACATGCTGAAATTGTGCAGAAGTCCCTCTGACTTTCGCGGAAGACGGATGAAAAACTTGCAAAGCATTGGGTCCTCAAAAATCCGTTTCAGACAGTAAAGTAAGCATTTCTTATCTGACACTGTTCATATTTCCAGCAACAGTCACCTTTTCTATTATGCAATAAAGAGCTACATCCTGAAAAATCCATGTATGGTGCATGTGAAAAGAAAACAGAGAGATTTCTTCAAATCCTAATATCCAGGTGTCATGATAACACACTGGATTAACAGAATGAATTATTAAAGCATTAAAGCAAGTTTTTACCTAGGAAAAAAAAATGCCTTTTTGATGTCAAAGAGCTGAGAAGCAATTCAGACTGAAATGCTACAGAAGGGTTTTAATTCCAGTATGAAGAGGAGACTGAGAAAGCTCTTTCTCTCAGCTTTAGGTCTTAGAAAGCTGGGCCACCAAGCTAGACATCCAGGCTTCCTCTGAAATTGGTGAAAATGTGAGTCTCCAATCCTAAAAGAGACCAAGTTTCCCTCTGATGATGCATATCTTTGCTTTTGACAAAATTAGACCAGTAGACTGAACTAAACACAGTTTTTTAGATAGTGTAAGTTACAAGAAATTAATCTGACTACGAGCAACCAGACATGCTAATTCTATCCACAGGAAAGCCATGGGGGAAAAAAGAAAATACAAGCCGAGCAGAATTAACATCATGCTAAGGAATGATCAAACCTCAGATCAAGAAACGAGAACAGTGGTGAATGCATTTTGAGATAAATTCTCAAAAGATTCAATTGCAGCCTTTTCTGAACAGGATATGTCTCTGTTCAACAAATCCAGAACTGCTGCCTTTCCCTGAGCACAAGCTTTTTCTAATTGATTTGGTAAACAAAGCGTGTTGGTGTTGTACCCTGAGGTTTCAAGCTAGGTCCTGATACAGATATACAAGCTGATTCAAAAAGCTGAATTCTAACTAGACAAATATAAAATTCTGCTCATGACTCAATAGTCCCTGCTCCAGACTGAGACCAAGACTGGACTTAAAACTGACCTAATGAGAATTACGCCACTTTTCACCCTACAGAATTCCTATACTAAAAAGATAGTCTCATTTCTAGCCATATGAAGTAAATATATGCAAACCACTAAGAACCAGAGTAATTCCCATAAGAGGAAGAACTGTATGTTTTGGCACATCACCAATGAGAAGGCAGGATGGACTGCAGATGCTTTAGACTGGCAGTACAGTAAAGATGTAAAATGCAACACACAAATTAACATAGCACATTTTCAAGGAATACATGTAGAAGCCTAGGTTTATTCAGACTGGGCAGTAACTGCTCTTAAAGACAATCCCAGTGATGTTGTTGCTCATATGAATGCGCACGTTGCAGTTCTGACTGTCTGAACAGTGCAAATTGCAAGAGAAAATATGTCTCCAGGGCTGTTGGTCTATGAATTGCAGAACAATGTCAGCAACTCAGTAAGGAGGATCTGCTCCAACACCTGGTGAATTCATCTGGATCACTTCTACTGACTAAGCAGACGGCAACAATCTTACTTACAAAAAA